GTGACTAGGAGGTCTGTGGGAGGGAAAGCTGGAGGAAAACAAGGGCTATTTCACTGAGTCTGTTTGTACAGATCCATTTCAGTGTTCATTCCCAGTCTCTGGTGATAAGGACATTCTTTTCTTCCTGGCACGTGGAGGGCATCTTTCTCAGGGGAAATTTTATGGCCTGATTTTAAGTAGGAAAAAGTAGGTCAGAAAGCGCTTTCTGCATGTGCTATTTCTCAGGTGACTTCCACTCCAAATAACCAACACGCCAAAGCGGCATATTTGGGGGTGGCCTGTCGTGAGCAACTTCACGTGGTCAAAGGGACTTTACAGATATGGATTAAGCTAAGGATCTTGGGATGGGGAGATTATCCTGGATTATACAGGCAGGCTCATTATAATCATGAGGGTCCTTTTTTTTTAAAGATTTTATTTATTTATTTGACAGAGAGACACAGCGAGAGAGGGAACACAAGCAGGGGGAGTGGGAGAGGGAGAAGCAGGCTTCCCACGGAGCAAGGAGCCTGATGCGGGGCTCGATCCCAGGAACCTGGGATCATGACCTGAGCCGAAGGCAGACGCTTAACGACTGAGCCACCCAGGCGCCCCAATCATGAGGGTCCTTATAAGAGGGAGGCAGGATGCCAGGAAGGAAGGAAGGAAAGAAGGTGCTGCTGGCTCTGAGGATGGAGAGGAGACTGTAAGCACAGAATGTGGGTCACCTCTGACCGTTGGCAGTGGAAAGAAATGGATTCTCCCCTAGAGTGTCCAAAAGGAAGCAGTCCCGCCAACACTTTAATGTCAGCCCAGTGAGACTAACTTTGGATGTCTGGCTTACAGAACTTAGTTTTTAAGCCACTAAGTTCACGGTAATTTGTCAACAATCAGAAACTCATACAGGGAAATCCAAAAAGAGTTAGTACTGCCCTCCCTCCCACTCTTAAAGGGTCACCGCTAGTCCATAGGGTTTTGTCTTCCAAATCCTGCAATCAGTCTAGAATGCCCCCAAACCACCAAGTAACATATCACACCTCCTACTGGACTGTCACATCTGGGGAGCGACATCTACTGGAAGAAAAGGCACCCTTTCCTCAAGTCACTGTCACTAGAAACATTCCAATCTCAGCGGCAGCTCTTATGCATGCAGCTTGCGTGGGATTTCTGCAAGAGAGGTTGTGGGGGGTGGTAGGTTATCAGCAGGAACCCAGCACCTGAGTTTAATCTCAGCTCTGCCACTGACTAGCTCTGGGAAATGGAGCAAGTACCTTAGCCCCTTGGTGCCTGTTTCCTTTTTTTTGTTTTTAAGATTTTATTTATTTATTTGACAGAGACACAGCGAGAGAGTGAACACAAGCAGGGGAGTGTGAGAGGGAGAGGCAGGCTTCCCGCCGAGCAGGGAGCCCGATGCGGAGCTCGATCCCAGGACCCTGGGATCGTGACCTGAGCCGAAGGCAGACGCTTAACGACTGAGCCACCCAGGCGCCCTGTGCCTCCGTTTCTTAATGTTCACAACTGGGATGATGCTAACAGCACTCACCTCCTAAAGTCGTTGCAAAGCTGAATTAAGTTCATGGGCCTGGTGCTTAGAATAACGCCTGGCATGTAGTAAGAGCTCTTTTCCCCTTAGATGTTGTAGAGGCCAGCCTTCGTATTTTGCCCAGCCCCCCACCAAGGAACTCCTCTCTCCAAGACATAGTATCTCTCTGCAAGGAAGGTTTCACTGGTGTGTTTATAGGCAGGATGGAGGAGTGGTTGCATCATAGGGCATGCAAATTTTTACTCCCAAATTCCCATCTCCTCCAAGTCTTGCTTCAGAGCGGCCAGCTGCCACATCTCCTGGGCTTCCCCAGGAAAGCACACACACACACACACACACACACACACCATCTTGTCCAGACTCTCAGCCTCAGACTGTCTCTCAATCACCTGATCCCAGTCCTTCATGCACAAGATCGAAGTTATCCCAGTCCCACCTAACTAGTCCATCCTGACCTACACCTATCTCCCCACTTGATAAACAGAGACCCTTCTATTATTGGGACCCACTTTCTTTTTTTAATTTTAGCCATATTGAGGTATAATCTAGGCACAAAAAATCGCACACATTTAATGCATACATCTTGATAAGTTTTTATATATATGCATACACCATACATCCATAATACCATCATCACCACAATGAAGGTGCCAAGCATATCCATCACCTCCAAAAATTTCCCTCTGCGTGCGTGTGTGTGTGTGTGTTTGGTGAGAACACATAACATGAGATCTATTCTTTTAACATATCTTGACAACAACACCGTATTGTTAACTATAGGTACTAGGTTTTATGGCAGATCTCTAGAACTTACTCACCTTACATAACAAAAACTTTATACCCACTGAAAAGCAATTTCCCATTTCCCCCTCTCCCTAGCCCCCGCTAACCATCAATCTATTCTCTGCTTCCATGAGTTTGACTACTTAGATATCTCATGTAAGTGGAATTGTGCAGTATTTGTCCTTCTGTGTCTGACTTATTTCACTCATCATAATGTCTTCTAGTTTCATAGATGTTGCTACAAATTACAGGATTTCCTTATTTTTTAAGGCCAAATAATACTCCATTGTGTATATATGCACCACATTTTCTTTATCCATTTATCTGCAGGACCCACTTTCTCAAGGGGTAACCAAAATTGCAAATAAGGTGACTGGTCACCAGGGCTAAATTTCAACCAGTGCACACTAGAAGAGCCACTGGTTGGTTGTTCGTATTGAAATATTCCCACACCATTTGTAAATAATCACTGCCCAAAACCAGCTCCCACCACACTCCTGCCAGCCCAGACCCTGCCTTGAGATTCCAGCCACCTCCCCACAATTCAGCAGCTAAAATAATATCTGCTGCAACAGAGAAGGGTCTCCAGTGTCCACTCTGATTGGCCGATTCCTGCACCATACCAGCTGTTAATATTGTCCTTGCAAATGGCAAATAATTCTAGACGTTAGTAGGTAATAAGGGAATGAAAAGAAGGTGAGGCGAAAACTAGCAATCAGAGTGTTGTTGGATTTCTCAGGAAAGGGAAAGAGAAGTCACCCATCCATCCAGTAGCTTCAGGTCTTTGCAGAAGCAGGAACATGGCTGCTGACCCCACTAGCAGCTGGGAAGGTTTGGGGAAAAGAAAATACCATTTTATCAACCATGGTAGAGGCAGCCTGCATTTCCCAAGAAAACAAAAAAATACTTCCCTTCCAAGAAGCGTTTCTAGAATCTTGCCAGTCCTCCCTCAAGAGGAAGACTGATTCCTATCCACTTGAATCTTGTAACCAAGAGAATGTGGTGGAAATGGAGTTGCATGGTTTCCAGGGCTGGGTCTTAACAGGAGACGTAGACTTGTTGGCTGGGGCACCCCTACTTAGAGCTCTGAACCACCATGGAGGCTGCATGCCTGAGGTCGCCATGTTGGCAGGAAAGCCAAACTCCCCAAGTCTGGGGCTACATGAAGGGAGAGCAGCACAGAGCCAGTTCCCAGGTGCTCTAGCCCCAAACACTGCCTAACTGCAACTGTATAAGGAACCCCAAACCAGACTCACCCAGCTGAGCCTTTTCCAGATTCCCAAAGCACAGAAACCATGAAAGATAAGGAAATGGTCGTTGCTGTTTTTTTTTTTTTAAGATTTTTTTTATTTATTTATTTGAGAGAGCAAGAATGAGAGAGAGCACATGAGAGGGGGGAGGGTCAGAGGGAGAAGCAGGCTCCCCACTGAGCCGGGAGCCCGATGCGGGACTTGATCCCGGGACTCCAGGATCATGACCTGAGCCGAAGGCAGTTGCTTAACCAACTGAGCCACCCAGGCGCCCGGTCGTTGCTGTTTTAAGCCATTTCATTTTGTGATAGTCTTTATGCAGCTGTGGATAACTGATACACAGTCCTTGGAGACTTTCCTGGAATCTTTCCTCATTCAATTCATGTGTCTCCCTTCTGCTTCCCTGTTCCAGGGCTCTGTTTTCTGCTGAGTTTATCAGAAGTCGTGGATCATAAGAGCATAGGTAAGTGCCCAATACCTGACTTCTCCACAGCCAGAGACCAGGCAGGGTGTAGACCAAGGGCACACCTGGGACCACTCACATCCTCCAAGGGGCTAGAGCAAAGGGGCTTGTTCTGGGAGCAGAACTCAGGGATGCTTGCTCCTGTCATTCTTTTTAGTTCATCATTTCATCAAATTTTAATGTATCTTTTTTTAAGTTTCATTTATTCAAGTAGTCCTGAACTTACGACCCCGAGATTAAGAGTCACGTGCTCTTCCGACTGAGTCAGCCAGGCGCCCCTTAATGTATCTTTTTATTTTACTGTCCTTTGTCTATTTGTTTGTTTTCAGTAACCACAATGTGCCCAATGTAGGAATAGAACAGTGACTAAAATACACAGCCTCACGAAGTGAGCATTCCAGTGGGGAGAGACAAAGCATGACAGTAACCATTTCATTCTGATCATAAGCGAGGCACCAAAAAAAAAAATGAAGAAGATGACTTCAGGCTAACTTTAATCCCTCGGAGATCTCACTAGATTCTGATTCAGCAGGTCTAGTGGGGGGCCTGAGATTCTGTCTTTCTAGCCAACCTTCAGGGGACACCTTCTGAGTAGCCAGATTGCCCACTGTGGCCCCATCAGGTTCCCTGCCCCCACTACCTATGAACACTGAAGTTCCCAGCTTTCTCCACTAGACCCAAAGCTCGAGATCCTTCCTCAGCTCAGTTCATTCCCAAGAGGGCTCAAATTAAGATCTTTAGTGTCTCTCTGTCCAAATGAAGTTATACATAGGGTTACAAAGATAATGTGTACCCATATCAGAATATACCTCCTGTAGACCCCTACAAATTCAAATTTTTATAATCCTAGCTGATACTTATTATGTGCCAGGCACTGCCCAACACACTTTATATGTATTAATTCACTTACTCTTCACAATAACCCAGTTTACAGATGAGGGTATTGAGGCACAGAGAGATTAAGACATTTGTGCAAAGACAGATGGCTGGTAAGTGGCAGAGTCAGAATCGAACCCAGGGTCTTTTTTTTT